ACATGGTCGAGTAGAGCTGCTCCGGGTCAATCTTGACCTTGAAGACCTTCTCGATGATTTCCTTGACGGCGATGCGCTCTTCATCCACGCGGACACGCTCGGCCAGGAGCATGAAGCCGTTGATGGCAATCTGCTCGCGATCCTCGGCGCTTCTCTGAGTCCAACGGAACAGGTCTCGGAGGGTAGCGAAACTGTCCTTTTGCTCGAACATCCTGCTCGTCTGTCGCAGACGAGACAGCTCTTTGTAAACTGTCACTATACGCTTGCAGTCTGAAGGAGCAGTGTTCCGGCTCCTTTGTTGGAGGATGTACTCCAATTCATCCTCGGGGATATCATCGTAGTGCAACTCCAGGAATCTGTTGCGGAAAGCCCGGGACAGTGCTTTCCGGCCTCCGTAAAGACCAGGCGGGTTCTGCGTCGAGAAGAGCATGAAGTTCTCATGCGGTCGCACGATCTCTTGCGTCTCTGGGATAAGAAGCTCGCGGTTGTCGTCCAGTAGACGGTTGAGTGCCTCGAGGACATCAGTGGGCGCAAGGTTGAGTTCGTCGAGCACGATCCAGTGGCCTTGGCGCATCGCCTGGACGAGGAGTCCTTCCTGGAAGCGCAGCTTTCCGTTGGAGTCTGAAGCATAGGTTCCAAGGTACTCTTGGAGGTCCGTGTGCTCGTGATTGTTGATGCGGACAAACTTGTTGCCCGTAAAGTTGGCCAGATATTCGATCATACTAGTCTTTCCGGCGGACGTAGGACCTTGGATGAGGATGGGAAATTTTCGCGTTGATGTGGCGCGAACAAGGTTGAGCAGGTTGCGCTCAACATAAGGGGTGATGATGTAGTCGGATCGCTCTTGCGGTTCAAGAGCGCCCTGCGACAGCCAATAATGACGGTTCTTGGCTTTGTTGACGAATCGAACATACTTCTTTCCGTCATCCGGGTGCGTAGGGGGTTTCGAGAGGAGGGACTGAGAGTTGGAGATTTGGCCGAAGAGGCGGTGGTCGATGAGTGGCATGAGGAGCTTTTCAGAATCGCGGTTGAGGAGGGTGAGGAAGCCCATAGAGAAGCCTTCGTACAGGGCTCGACGAAGGCCGTAAAAGGGCGCAATGTGGTTGACATAGGACAGCACGCGGGTCAGGGTACGTAGGCTGAAGTGTGGCACCTCGTTGGCACCGTCCACCAAGCTTTTTTCTTCTGCCCGAAGCTTGGTATCGAGGTAGAGGCGGGCAATGTCATCGGCTGCCTTATCGTCGCGAGTCCCAGAGCCCTTGAGATACGTCTTCACGATGGTCAAGAGATCCTTGACGTCGCGATCCGGACTGTCGACGTAAATCTCGGTAAATCTGGATCGGATGCCAATGGGCAAATCGCGCTTGCCAATGTCCGTTGCCGGGTTCATGGCACCGAACATGCGGAAATTCGGGTGCGCCTTTATCCTCTGAATCTCACCCGTTTCTGATAGGAGGATGGATGGCGTCTCGGCTGGGCCGGTCAAAAGGTCCGCGATGCTCTCAAGAGTGTCAGGGGAGGCAAGGTTGATCTCGTCCAGGAGGACCCAGTCTCCGTTTCTTGCTGCCTTGACAATATTGCCCTCGACAAACGAGAAAGCGAAGGCTCCAGAGCCTCCGGACATTTGAATCTCAAACTGGTCAAGGCTGCGAGTGAAAGCATCCCAGCGCGGCTTCAGGTCAAGGAGCCTCTGTAGTTTGGACTCGGTCTTCCGCCTCTTGGTCGGCTGGTCCTCGCCGTTGCGAGCTTCTCTTTGCTCGTTCTCCCGCCTCGTCAGCTCTTCGACAATCTTGATGAACATCTTTGGCGCTTGCCTCCATTGTCTGGAAACTCTGGACCAGTCGCCTTTCGCGAAAGTCTTTCCGAGAAGTTCCAGGTAGGCCTGGTTCTTCGTGGCCGATATTCCCGTTGCGGCGAAGAGATCTTCAAACTCTTCCATCAGGGGCACCGCAAGACTCCGCACATTAACCGGCTTGAAGCCTCCCAACAAATCACCGACTTCGCTTTGCTGTGATAGGTTGACTGCGATGAGCTTGTGGCCGAGTGTGTCGGCAAGCTGCTGGATCACAGTCGTCTTGCCGATACCCGTCTCACCGACGAGCAGTACGGGTTCGCCAGACTTGACCGCAACAGCCGCCTGCTCCAGCAATTTCTTGGCGTGAGTCGTATTCGCGAATGGCCTCTTAGACTTGACAATCTTGCCAGAACGGTCCTTCTTCTTTCGGAGCTTGACTCGGCCGATACGGAACTGATCGGGGCCGTCCTCAAGTTGCGGGATGCTAGCTTCGAGGTAATGCTCTACCCGCTCCTTGGACATGTGCCACTCCTCGGCGATCTGGAAGGTGATATGCTGGCGTGCCTTGGCGTCAGGTATCCTGGATACGAAACAATCAACTGCTTCCATGAACATTTGGTCGCGTGTTGTGTCGCTGATGGGTTCGTCGCCCGTCGTGCAGTTGGCGTCCCCAAGAAGGCTCGCAAGCCGACGACACCATCGCAGCAGGTCTCGGGAACTTGGTTGACGGTCAAGCAAGCTTCGGTTGAATGAGCTGCGGCTTGCTCCCGACACCGAGTTCGTCAACCTCCTGAAAACAGCCATAATTTCGGGGGCGAATCGACGCAAAACAGGGTACGTGCCCACGATGATGTCGAGGAATTCGGCTTCAGACGGGATCTGGATCGATAGCTGTTGCCAGAAGCGAAGACCGAGGAGGTTCGGCAGCGTTTCGCGCCCATGCATGCCTTTTGTCGTCCGAACGGTGGCAAACAAACGAAACTCGCTCGAGGCCTCAATGGTCTCGCCTCGACTAGGAATGAGGAGCTGACCGCGTTCGATCAGCGGCAAGAGGGTACTGATGACTTCGTTGGGGGCCCGATCCAGGTCTTCGATGAGAACCCATCGACCCTCCCTGACAGCTGTCGTCAGGACACCAGGTCGCCACGAGAAGCTTCCTGGCTTCGAGTCTGCCGCGTAAAGCCCCACCAGCATCTTTGCATCGGTCTGTTCGTTAATATGCAGTGTCACCATTCCGGAGTGTTTCCCGAACTCCTTGGCGAACTCGTGAATGACGGAGGTTTTGCCGGATCCGGGAAGTCCATGGAGCAGAATCGGTTTCCTGTCCTTCAGGAGGCCGGCTAGGCTTTCCAGGTTGTTTGATGTCGTCGTCGTGGGAACTAGAGAGGATGTGTTATGCGAAGGTGCGGAAGGTCGAGGAAGGATTGTCTGCCCGTAGCAGGCGACAAGAGGGGTCAGTGATTGGGGAGGAATAGATGGGGCATCATCTTTCAGAGCCCTCTCGTTCCTCTCGCGACGTAAGGCATCCAGATTCTCCACACGTGCGTGCTCGTGCAGGGGCAAGAAGCCAAAGTCAACGTGTTGGCCATCAAAGTCTCCAGAGATGGCCGAGGCACCGACATGCTCCCGAATGAGAGCCTCTCGCTTGGCGTCTGCGGCGTGAACCTGCAGACAGAAGATCCGGATACACAGGTAACGTACGGCGAGATGCTCGTGAGCAAAGAGTGATTGCATTTGGGCGGGTGAGACCAGGATCGAGTAGGCGCCTGCATCAAAGCTGATCAGTCTCCATACTGCCAGTAGCAATCGCAAGAGCTCGTCTTGCTGGAGATTTTGCAGGCTCGCGAAATCGAGTTGCTGGAGCCCCAGCGGTTTGTTTGAGGTTGGTGATGAGCCTGAGCTCATGTAATGCCTGAGAAAAGTCGACAAGTAGGGCGCGAATCGCAGTACTCGCGCAAATGCAGCGAGGACGTCCGTCTGGGTCTTCGCATCGGTTGGGTTGAGGATCCATCGGGCACAGAGGTCAGGGAAAACATGCTCGAAATGGACGAAAAGTCGGCTTGTAAGTTGGGGTATGAGAGCCGCTTGAGACAGAACATGTAGTAGGTTCGTGGAGGTGTGATCTCGAATGACGGCGAGGACTTCCTGAGGCAGCTGCTCAAGGACAATCGCATCGTCCAGGAGAGCCGCCCTTTGCGGCGATATGTCAATCGTCGCCATGGTTGCGTCGATATCTAACGATATGTCGTCGCGATCAAGTCCTGGGGTCTTCTTTTTTCGCTGAGTATTTCCAACTTTTTAGCGGGTCCCTCCAGGATAGAACGGAACCCGGCACCACCCACCTTCCGGGCCAATCAGATGCGCCGAATTCGGGCGTCGAAGCTTCACGCGACTCTCCAAGCTCGAAAATCTTCGAGCACTCACCACTCGTGTTGCCTATCCCGATCGAACGACCGACCTCAAGTCGCCAATCCACACACCAGCCATCGGCCCTCGCGAAAGCCATTGCGGACCACCACTCCCTCCACCTCTCCCCTCACCCATATCAACACCACAATGGCCATGTCTTGCAGGTACGCGGCTCGCAGCTGCGCCCGTCAGCTGCGCACCGCCAGCTCCCTCCGCGCTTCCGCCTCCTCTTTCCAGACCCGAACCCCTGCGACAGCGAGACGGCACAACTCGACCGAGGCTGCGCCTGCGGCAAACCCCAAGATTGAGACCATTGTCGACCAGATCAGCAAGCTCACTCTCCTCGAGACCGCCGACCTCGTCTCCACCCTGAAGGTATGCACACACGAGACCGCCGGACCCCCCCCCTTGGCCTCGGACCTTTTTTGATTTGCGAACGCTTGCTTACCGTATCGTCTCTTTCCCTCCCCCCTTCCAGTCCCGACTCAACATCCCCGACCTGCCTGTCGGTGGCTTCGCCGCTGGCCCTGCCGCCGCCGCCCCTGCTGCCGCCGAGGAGGCTGACGAGCCCGCCCCCGCCGCCGCCGAGAAGAGCGTCTTCAACGTCAAGCTCATGGCCTTCGATGCCGGCTCCAAACCCAAGGTCATCAAGGAGATCAAGAACCTGCTGGGTCTCAGCTTGGTGGACAGCAAGAAGTTCGTAGAGAGCGCCCCGAAGCTGATGAAGGAGAATGTGCCCAAGGACGAGGCCGAGAAGATTATCGCCACGCTGAAGGAGCTCGGCGCCATGGTCGAGATGGAGTAAACGATTCTGCCTTCCTCGCACAGCAACGACGGACTTCCAGGGACGAGAGGGCATCCGGTGGCATTCGATGGGAATGGGACCTGGATTACCTAGATGGATGTGTATTGAGTGTATAAACACCCATGTAACAATAACAACATGTACCCCCCCAATTTTTGTTTCATATTGCTTCCAAGGCGATCACTGTCACTGAGACACGAACAACGTGTGTGGCCGAATCGGCTGAATTGTAATTCTGCATCAGATGCACAGAGGGCTTGATGCCAAACCGCGCGCATACGCAAAGGACAACCGTGGTATCTTGACCAGAGGGGGACACGCCGGCCCCCTTTTTTTTTCTCAACGCCCACCCACGCCTATGAGATGAGACCTCACGCCCAACGCCAAATTTTCACGTACAGATGAGAAAGCAACAGTCTAGTGAGAGGTACCGTTGCCATGGCCGCGGCCACTGGCGCCGTTCTGGTCCTTACGACCGTAGAGGTCGTCCAGGCCGCGGGGTGTGTAGTGGGGGCACTGCTGAGCAACAGCCGCCTCACGGGCAAGAAACTCCTCGCGGCCCATCGTATGATCGTCCTCACCGAGGTCACTAGTCTCCTCCCAGAGGCGATCAATCTCGGCGTCGCGGTCCCGGATGGCCCAGATGTCCTCGCGGAGCCTCTTGTGGCGCTCGCGGTCTTCTTCGATGCGCTGCTCGATCTGGCGCTTGTCGAGCCCGGGGGCAGACGGGCGACCGGGTTTGGGGATCGTCTGGCTCGGGGGCATGTCGCCGAGGTCCTGGTCACCCTGGACAGGTGACGAGAGGCCGGCATCGTGAGCGCTGGTTTCGCGGTCCTTGAGGACCTCCTCGATCTGGACCACGACTTGGTTCTCAATGTGCCCCTTGTTCTCAAGACACTGAAGGACCTGCAGCGGATTAGTCACCACCGGACTCGTCACCCAGACGCGGACGTGAGCCAACTCGGGGCACTCACCAGGCGGACAACCCTGACGTTCGCAGCGCCGGAAGCATTCTCAGGAGCGACGGCGTCAACGATGCGGATGATGTCGCGCTGCACCATGGTGATGTAGTTGAGATGGTTCTCTTTCTTGGCCATGTCCATGATGTGCTCGATGCAGAACATGATGTTGGCGCGCGTGTTCATGTTAGACTGTGTTTCAACGTCAGCGGAATGAATCTTTGCTATCGTCAAATGAGTTGAACACACTCGCTCAAGCTGCTCGAGGATGCAGGAGTGAAGATCCTCATCCATGTCCTTGTACTTCATGGCGTACGCCGCAGCTTTCTGATGAGACACAACTGTCGCATTCAGATGCTGCAGCTGGCTGGAGAAGCGCATGCGCACCTCAAACGGATCAGCCATGGTGACGTTATCGGCAGATTCGGGCTCGAGATCGGTGCTGGAGGAAGTGTTGATGCTGTGGCGAAACTGGATCGAGGCAGGAAGGTCGACGAGCGGAGGCGGAAAACCAAGCAGAGGACTGATGGAGTCGTCTCGGACGAGAGAACGAAGTCTGGGGCTCTCAATGATTCCCACAGGGCTGTTCTCTTCAGAAGACGCCATCTCGCTTTGCGATTGTCGATACAGCGGCTTCTTCAGGGGAGTAGTAGCGTATCATGTGGAGTACTAGGTGCGAATCACATATTCGCACGTGGGAAATAATTTTAGCCCACCTCTCGAGACCAGCGGGGCAGTCACGCATCACAGACAGGCCTTTCAGTTCACGCCTACCTGCTAAGTCTATCACTGTAGGGAGCATGATAGCATATAAGGTATTGTCAAGTCCTGATAAGCAATTCCGTCTAAGAAAAGTTCGTTTTTATTGAATCCACATCGTTTCGTACACTCATTATCGTTGGGGTACTCCGCCGCATGATGGGACACGCAACATCTTCAAGACTAGATGCCCAAGATCTCATTCGTGAGAAATGACAAAGGTGTAATTCTGTCCGGCACGACGCTCTTGTCTAGAGCTCCTTGATCAAAGGAGCGGTTCACGCTACGAATTTGAAGGCACAGAGGAGCTGATCATATGCATTTTGGCCAGTTTGAAGTCAACCGTTTGGGGCCCTCGCTGCAAATCTCAAGTCAGGTCGCACGAGCGAAGCTTCTCCAAGTGATCTTATAACCGATTTCGGGTATTGTGAAAATCGACATTTACTTTACCGCATTCTTCCAAAGGGCCATTATCAGACCAGATACAGGAAAAAAAAAGTGAACAAGCCATGTCCAGGCAATCACATCCGTCCTGACTCCCAGGTAAAGAAGCGAGCGTTCCTCACGCCCATTTACGACAATCCCGCCCCGGGGCTCAACCTCATATCAATTGCTCCAAACCATCCCGGGGATCATCTAGGCATCCTCCACACGAGCTTTTTTGCTCAACCCCTGGCCCTCTGCCTCGTCCACCGATTTCCTCTTCCCGTTGGAAGAGCTCGGGCCATAGTGCTTCTCCCACCTCTCATGCGCCGCCAGAAGTCGCGCGTACTCCAGCTCAACGCTGCCCAGGGCCTCGTTCAGCTTTTCGCGACGCTCGGGAAGATCGATCTGACCGAGGATATCTTTGTTTTGACGATACACACGCTGCTTGGCAAACATGCGCCAGAGGCGATACTGGTGTGCCTCGGCTCGCGTAGGCTTAGCTTTTTTATCGACACCGAAACTGGGCTGCACGGATGCAGGAAGTTGTGACATGGTATGCATTTCGATCAACCGGGCAAATTGCCGCGGGGCGATCTTGGTTTTGCGGCGCAACTTGTCGAGAAGGTCCGAATCGACAATGTCACGAGGCACCGCCTTGGACGAGTCGTCGGGCACGTTGATGTCAGTGTTGATGCGGACCTGGGCGAATTCGGGAACGGTTTTCAGATATGTGAGGTCCGAAAGGTCTCGCATGTCATCGAAAGCCTCATTGGGGTCCTCGACAGTGAGCTCCATGGCCAGGGGGTTGGCAAGGTAGTACTCGAATATGCTCTTGTAGAGTCTGGCGCCAATGCCCTTGCCCTGGAAGGGCGGCAGGATGACAAACTGCGACAGACGAGTTCGGCAGGGGAGATCAGTGATCTCGAAATCGCCCTTGGGAAGCTCCCAGTCGGCCGCAGGAGACGCCGGAGGTGAGGGCGCCTGGAAGTAGAAGAATCGGTATATGGTGGAGTATCCCACAAAGGTGTACGGTGATTGAGCCGCATCGTCGGCGACAGGTTGTTTCCTGTACAGCAGGAAGACGGTCCACCGGGCGGCATCGTCCGGCACCTTCCACGGGTCTGCCGCCTCGGGGTCCCGGGCGATATAGGAGCCGCCCTCGATGAAGAGTGGTACGAAAATCTCGACTCGAGTGATCAGCTGATGAATGGCAGGATCCGTGAGGCTGCCTTTGCGGATCTCGTATGTTCCATCCTGTGTCTCGAAGCTCGTGTGGAGCTCTCCAGATGGCTTCCATTCTTCCGTAGTCTTCTGCACACTGGCCTCGAAATCCTTGACACTGGAGAAGGCAACTGAAGCCATTGATTAGCAAGGGACCCTTCAACCAAGATGCTCGTTTGCTGGACCAAACTCACTTGCTGGCAGATGCTCCTGCAGAACAGCCTTGATGTCTGTTGGCTCAGTGTCGCCTATAGCCTTGAATTTCTCTTTCGACGTGATCTGGACGTGAGGGCGCATATCGTTGGCGGAGTACCGAAGGTTGATCTTGAGCCCCTTGTAGCCAAAGATCTGCTCCTCATTGCCAAAGATGGGATATGTGAATCTCGGATTGAACGTGGCGATCGCTTTGAGGCCCGCATCGGTCGGCCTGACGAGGCCGATGTTCAGGGCGTCGTTGGCATTCGCCGACCTGCGGCGTGAGGTGGTTAGCGCAAGCAGGAAGGTGCATTTGGGAAATGCGACGTACATTCACCCTCCTCGGCCATGACGAACTGAGAAAGGAAGCTTTTGTTGGTTGAAACTGTATGCTGAAGTGCTTGAATTGGCAGCGATAGAAGGTACGACGTAAGCGAGTTCGGGTGGGCTTTGCTGTAGCAGGAATGGGTGGACGACCTAGAAAACGAAGCTCGCGATCTTGAGGTTGCCAGCGCGACGCGGTCGCGACGTGATGGAGATGGTTTCTGCTGATGTAAGGCGGTTATTATGGATCGAAAAGCTGGAAGCCCTGGACAAACTGAATCTGAAGGCATCTGGTACTGCGCTAATTTTCTCGCCTAGCATGCTTGGGCTGACACATCTTGGACCACCCCCATCCTGTTGTACAAGCCCGTCAGCACTGTCCTTCAGCGATCTCTGCACCCCGCTGGGCGATGCTTAAAACAATGCCAAAAGGGGTCTTGAAGGCATGCTTGATAGCATCGTGGCTTCTTTGGAATCGGACGGCTTTCCAAGACCAGATTTTCCCTTTTGACAATAACATGTTCACCTCTCGGGAGCTGGCTTGCTAGCAGATGACAAGGATCAAGAGACCGAGCCCTCCCGATGAGGGTGTATGGGTGGGGGGCAGACCAAGGAGCCCGATTGAAGCTTAAGTACTAATGTCTCTGGCCTAAATTGTATCCTGTAAAGCCTATGGGGGTTCGAGCGGTTGCTTCGTTAATTGTTGATGAAGGATGGAGGATGGTGTACACGTGTCAATAATAGGAATGAAGTCTACAGGATGGAGAGCCCAAATACACACACTTGTCCTGGCCAACACCATGGGATGTCTAAATTCACGATTTAGATGCCAATCTGCTCAGGGAAATCTGGAGGGCAATATTGGCTGAAATGCCGGTTGAGATCAACGACCACACAGCATCACTGGTAGCCACCTTGGGTTTGATTGGGGTTCACCCAAGAAGATGCTCGAAAATCGGCCTTTGATTCTCCTCTGGTCGGTCAAGCTGCACCTCAGCACAAGAGGTCAACTACCTTGATAGACTTGATAGAAGCGAGGCCCCAGCAGCCTCGAAACGAGTGGGGGGTTGGTATGGGGGCGTTCGTGGCACTGACTGGCGTTGTCTTGGCTGCAGGGTCCAACGCGCGGTTGCGACCGCTCCAGCCCCATTTGGGCAAGTCCAACAGTTCCGAGTCCCTCAAGGTGTTCCATTCCACAATGCCGCATTGGATCCTACGAGGTACATCATTCTCGAGCTCCCGCCTCTTTTCCTGTTGGCTTGACTGTCCCCAGCCGTGCTCGATTGTCTCTGCTTCACCTTGACTCAAGTCAATCAACCAGGCACCTGCAGCTCATCCGCAGATCCGGCACCATGGGCGGGCTGTTCTTGTTACTCGTGCTCTGCGTAGGTACATCCCGAAGCAAACCCTCCAAATCAAGCCTGGGAGCAAGATTCTAGCGATGCTGACACGAAGTGACAACAGGCTGTCATGGCCGTCGCGTAAGCCCTCCGTCCCTTTCGAAGCTGCCGCCGTCTTCCGACTTGACTGACCACAGGACGCAGCTCGTTTCTGGCCGGCTCGCTACCTCTCGCCGTCTCTCTCACTCCATCACAACTCCGACTTATATCGAGCTTGGGCATTGGTATTCTAGTAGGCACATCCATGATTGTGATCATCCCAGAGGGTGTCGAGGCGGTCGTCGCATCAGGAGTCGGTGCCCACGCGCATGCGCACCGTACAAGAGGCCTCGCGCAAGGCCTCAACAGGCGTGGGGAGCTGGGCGTGCGATTGACGTCAGCAGATGCCGTCACGACCTTCGACAATGATAAGCAAGTCGAGCTGATGGACCATCTTCGAGCCCTGGCGGCGAACGAGGCCCAGCACTACCGAGTGCTTCCGCGGGATGGGCCGGCAGAACACACTCACGACCACGATCACGCCGAGACAGGCAAAGGCGAAGAACACGCTGGCGAAGAGGAAGGGCCGGAGGTGTCTGGCTTCCACATCGGGCTTTCCATGGTGCTCGGCTTCGTCCTGATGTTCCTCATTGACAGGATTCCTCGACATGCGACCGAAGGTCGCACGAGCGAGCCGCACATGCGACACGTCAGTCTCGACAATCTCGGCGCGAACTCAGGCGGCGACGCAGAAGCGGATGGCTTTCTCGGTGGTCTGACGCAGCCCTCGAAGGATCCGCGCAGCTTTGCGACGACAATCGGCTTGGTCATCCATGCATGCGCCGATGGCATCCCCATGGGCGCGGGCGCGACGACCTCGGACACGCAGCTAGGCCTCATCATCTTTATTGCCATCATGCTCCACAAGGCCCCGGCTGCCTTTGGCTTGTCTTCGGTCTTGCTGAAGCAGGGGCTCTCTAAGCGGGCAGCTCGGACGCATCTGATCGTCTTCAGCCTGGCTGCGCCGTTCGGTGCTCTGTCTACGTGGGCTATCATCACCGTGCTTGGCGGTGGGCAGCTCGAGGGCCCGTCGGGAAAGTGGTGGACGGGCATGCTCCTGTTGTTTTCTGCCGGCACCTTCCTGTGAGTACCAAATCAGCGGCAAGAAGCTGACCATGGTCCACGATGCTGACAAGCAGTCTAGGTACGTTGCAATGCATGCAATGCAGGACGGCGATGGCGGTCACCAACACGCCCCCGCTGGCTACGCAGAGGCTGGCGCCAGTGGCCAACCGAAGCCACAGATGCGCGACACGCTGGTGACTGTCGTTGGGATGCTGCTGCCCCTACTGACGCAGTTCGGTCACCACCACCACTGAGGACGGGAATGTGGATGGCCAAAAGGTTAGAGTTTTTGGTTGGATGACAAAGAAGGCCTGGAAGTCCAATGTTTCACGATCGCAACGATACCACTTTGCTCGATGCACAGTACCCCCAAGGTGGAGGAGGTACCGGTTTTCAATGCGCAAAAGTAAAGTCTTTCAGCCGTTTAATTGTACCCATCAAGTGCTGCCACGGAAGAGGAAAGCAGCACGCCAACATGAACGGAGAACGGACAGGCATGATGCGAGCCCGTGACAAGTATATGCATCCGATCCCTCTTGATAGGTATTCGATGGATGCTACCGAAACCAATCTCCGAAGACCGAACGAAGCGCCCGTAGTACACGGTCCAGGGTTTGGGTCGGGATCATTTCGGGTGACATGATCGCCAGATAGCACAAACATCAGACAACATCGCTCAAAGACATTGCGCAACATGCAGCACATGGCCTACTCTCGACTCCATGGCTGAGTGCCGCATCCGACTTCCCGGTCGAACCTCTACCGTACACCCTGTAACGTATGTTACATTGTCATTTTCCCAGGGTTGACTCCTCGGAACTCCCTCCCATGATCCCAGGCCCCCGATTCCTACCCATCGGTTTCCTACAGGGCGGACAACCTTTCTAGAAGTCAGCGCATGAATGATCGCCGTCTCACCATACGAAAGCATCCATCTTGAGATGACTGGCAGACCGAGGAAATTTATCAGACCGCCAGCCTTGGGGCGTGCCCGCGCCGGTGCACCGAAAGGGACGGGAGGAGGGGATGGGGAAGTCAGCAGCGGTCACTCGTCACTCGAGCGGTGCTCGATGCTTGTGACGGACGGACCCTGACCTCGTGCCGCAGCCACGTCTCTTGTGTCAACTAAGCGGAGACGGGTAGCATCTGAAGCGGCAAAGCCACCCGGGTCTCTGCACAGATGCGACCCGTTTTACATGCCCAGCAGGGCTGTGAAGTAGGTACCGTCTAGTCTCTCGCAAACGCACGAGGGACCACTTGTCAATGGATGGTGCCAGCACCTTGCGTGGCTGAATTGGCCGCGGGACAGTGGAGAGAGAGAGAGGGAGGCAGCGGACGCACATTTGCACCCAGATGGGCCCGGCATGCGAGGGACGGTCCGTTTTCCATTTTTCTTTTCTCCAGTCTCTGGCTGTGTTGGTCTGCAAAGCGACTCTTCAAGGAGCAACCCGGCGGTGGGGATCGTGGTCAAGCTGGGCCCTCCAAGGCCTCCTGGGTTTGAAACGAAGGGGTGCGAACGAGGGGTTTGAAGCACGGTCCCTTGGCTCACCTCAGGCTCAAGGGGGGATTCTGTAGGTACATGCTTACTGGCTGGCGAGGGAAGTAAACGAATGTCCCAACCCTACCAAACCTACTCACCTTTACCATCCATTCCTCGCCAGGTCAGTAAGTATCAGCCTTGGGTGCATGAAGGGCGGGGACGGAGGGGACGGGTAATGGGAGGGGTGGGCGGGTGATCCCTCGCTTCGCCATGCACAGGCAGCATAGGTACGGTACATTGGTACATGGTACAGCACAATGGCAAACGCAAACGCATGGGGGTGCTCTGCCCGCGCGGGCCCCATTGATCAGAAGATGCAATGTGATCCAGACCATGTTTAGCGCCGTTGTTGACCTACAGGAACAGATCCATCTCTCAAAATGTGCGACTCCAAATCTAGGATTCATGAATTTGTCTCGAGGTTCTCAAGCTAGTCTTCCGACACCGCGACTTGATTTGCAATGGGGTATCCTGCTTTGGGGCCCAGGGAGCCTGGCTTGCCAACGAGTCAATCTAGGCCGACGCAGTCGTCGCTGTCACCGCAGCATCGACGTCATTCCAGTCCACCCTTGATCGGGCTGGAACGTCAACTGAGTGGCACCAAGCGCCCACTAGCAGACCAGCCGCCGCCAGAGACCCTGCAGCACGCGCACACCTTCACGGCGGGTGTCGCTGGGCTGTGAGGTGAGGTGAGGTGAGGTGAAGCTGGGATAGGTGCAGAACGAGGGTGTTGCTTTGCTGTCGGCCACAGGATCGGACACGGACGGATCGATCCAAGACCGCATAAGGAACGGGCTGACGAGCCAGGACATGAACGATCGATCTTGGATTGCCAGTAGATTACGGCCCAACAGAGGGAGACGACGAGGGACCACCAATGTTGCTTTTGTCAGAAACAAGCCTACCCTGTGTTGCTGAAGAACTATTGACCATCGAGAATACCACGCCGCCATGCAGCCCTCGCGTCAACCTGTGTGAAGATCGTCCCAGCCCACCTGGAGCCAAGGGCATTCTGGCAATGGAGCACAGGTCGGTCAGGAGACATGCAGTCAATGGGTTGTCGAGATGAAGTTTCCACGCCACACAAGACGGCTCACAGTCAGCTCTTGCTACCCTCCACCCCCCCTGCCAGCCCGGACTCGACCAGTCCGATGCGATCTGACTCCCATCCTGAGCTTCAGGCAAGGCGTGGCCGGTAGCGCACCGCAGGTAAACCCTTCCGCCGGGCGGCAGTACCACTAGGGCACTACACCCGTCGATGCTCAAGAAGTACCCGCATCTCCACCTGATTCGAGGCACTCTGGAGGTATTTCCTTAGTGCGGCCAGGTACTCCAAACACCGCCCGAGGGACTACTGGTGCTGCATGTGGACTTGCGGCGGACTTTACAGGGCCTCGCCTCCCCAAATCCCACCCCCCGAGGAATGAAAGGCCCCTGGCGCCAGGCCTTTATTGGATCGCTCCCCGCCTGGATGCCAGCCGCCAGCCGCCATCCCCCATCTCCATCCTTTCACCTCCATTTCCATCTCATCGGGCGTCCCTCGACTCCTCTGCGTCCTGCTTCGTCTACGTCGCCCTGCCTCGCTACTA